CCCTTGTGTATGCTTTATACAATTGTCACCTTTAGATCAATCGTTTTATATCTAATAAACATAATTATAGAAATGTATTTTAAACGAAATCTCTCCGTTTTGCTATATATAACTCTGAAACTAAAAAAAGGAAAGGTAAATAATGCCTCAAACATGAAAACGTTTTTTCTTTGGTAGAAAAGGCAAAGCAAATGAACGTTTTATCATGTTACAATAATGGATTTAGAAAATTTGAAATCCTTTACACGTGAAAAAAAACGACGTTGAATGTTAAATCATTTGTAACAAAAGGTAACAAAATGTAAACAAAATGGTATTTTGACTTCCAATGCCAAAACGCAACAGAAGCAATAGAGCAACAAGAATAAGAATGGGCTTCCTAATAGCGACTTTGCCGAGTGGTTAACGCGTCGGATTAATAATCTTAGGGCCTCTAGCTATCGGGCTAAAATCCACTTAAAACTCATTGCTCATTACTGGGTGATACAAGGATGGTTGTCATGGGACATGTAACTTTTCTGTCAGTCTATGAGAATTTATATTATTTCCAAACAAGAGAAAATGCGGTTTCAAGCTAAAAAATAACTCGTTGCAAGTAGATTCGATGGTTGCGGGTAGAACAATTGTTCGCTTGGTAATCTTTTAATCCTTTAATCAATTGCTGCGCAATATGTAAGCCGCGTCATGACAAAACCAACATAGTGCGTTTGTGACCAGCATGGATCAAGACCAGCCTGTGCATCCGCGCAGTCTGATCAGGATCCATGCTGTTCGCTTTCAGTTTCTCTACTTGTAATAGGGTTGGAAAGCAAACAGCATGGATCCTGATCAGACTGCGCAGATGCGCAGGCTGGTCTGGATCCATGCTGGTCGCAAACGCACTATGTTGGTTTTGTCAAGACGCGGCTCAATTATCATAGAAAATTATGTATATAAAAATATACAAAAAAGAAGACCTGTTTTAAACTGACAATCAAGCTGTCCTAGTCGCAACATGTTCACGGATGTGGTAATAGGAGTGTGCCAGGTGAATCATAACAACTCTTGGGTATACCTGCAAATTTTCACCTCTATGCATATCAAATAGCTGTAAACAAATATGTTTTAAACCTGAATTATTTGGGAGAGTATCTTTAAACACGAATTTCTGTGTGAAAGTATTTAAACGTTACAAGTAAAGATAAACATAGGATTACTTGTAACAAAATTTAGACTATCAGCTCACAAAAAGGGGGAAAATAAAAAAAGGAAGGCACGAAAATATTCAAAGAGAAAATATAAAATGTCAGAATTAAATAATTGAATTTGGTAGAAGCAGAATATCATTTCTTATTAATAAATATGCCCAAAAAATTACAATTTACACATAATTTTTTTAAAGGATGGCCCACAATGCCGAAGTTCGAAACAATTATGTCAAGCACAATTATCAAAACAATTAATAACTAGGCAAGTTATCTGTATAGGGACATATGCACACTCATTTAACTATATGCATTCTGGTTAAAGGGAGAAAACGATAATTGCTTAGTACATACATCGGTTATGTCATCTTAAAAATAATAAATACTGTATCACTGTTACTTTCTTTTTCCACATTGTGAGCTTATAGTCCTAATTTGGTTTAAATAATCCTATGGATATCTTACTTAGAACACTTAAATTGGTGTTTAAAAATGGCTGCAAAGGGGAAAGTCTGTTAGAATTATTAATATTCCAATTCATGTTGAAATTGAAAAAAAAATGTATGAATTAATGAATATTATGTAAAGGGAGATAACCCCAACAATAATTGTGCAGTACATACATCGGTTATGTCATTTTAGAAATAATTGGTAGATGATGAGATACGAGTATAAAAACGTTAACAAATATCTTTTAACTTTGATTTACATGTATAAGTACTTTTATTCAATACTTTGTCTGCTTAAAGTAACATATGTAACATATTAATACTTGAATTATTTACATATCTTGTTAGATAAAGTCCTTACACTTTACACCGCAATTCATTTGACTGTTTGACTATAAATTGTATATATACAATTTTGTCATGAATTAAGGTATGACCCACCTAATGCATTACCTCCACTTTGAAGAGTACTCAAATAGGCTAGAACTACTGTCAACTGCATTGAAACTGAGGGGCGCGGGTTCAAGCCCCAGAAGAGGCAACTTTTTTTTCTTTCTTTTTTTTTTCTTTGAACATTATTTGTGTCTCTTAGATCACTCATGATAAGAAAATGTGTTTCATTTTAATTATAAAACTATTACTGGTATTTATTGGCTAAATTGTGCCAAATTTATTATCAAATATGGTACCTGATATTTTCAAAGTCTCATAAAATTAAAAATAGACGGTAAAGGTATTTTATATTTGACAAGCGCAACCAATATATTTTTAAGAAAATTTATGCAAACTTTGAAAACAGCCTCTAATTTGAGTAAATTTTAGGGATATTTTGAATAAGGCCCTCCAAGAAGAAAAATGAACAATTAACATCTAAATGGGTGGGGTAGGGTAACATTAGTATACATATTTCAAACATTTTGAGTAGAAACAATAATTTTGCTGGGTCATTTGTTAGTTGAATGCTATTATTTGTTTCTTAAAAATGTTCTATAGGAAAACATTTTTTCATAATGATTATATAATAGAATATTTAGAGTTTCTCATTTCTGAAAAAGAGCCCTTCTAATAGGCAAGTTTTACTTAAGAAAAATCTCCATAACTCGTAAACCATACGGTAAACTTTGTTTAAATTTTGCATTTTTGTGTCTTTTAAGGTATATAACTGACCTATGTTGTCAATTTTATAGTTCTTTATAGTGCCCATTACGGGGCTCATACCTTAAATATATGTTCTAGTCTGTTATTTTGTGATATTTACCCACTAACTTCATGAATCGTTGTCTGTGAAATGTTTTGGTCAACTCAAATGAATTCACTTTTATTAAATAACTGAAAAACAAAACAAGCAAAATATATTGGGAAATAACAATAATATATTCACTTCAATATAAAAGTTGTCTTGTCTATCATATGTAAATTTAACACTCCTATCACCACCCCGGGAATCAACACACAGAAACTGTATGTCTTTTGTTAACATCATGATACCTTCAGACAGTCCAAAAGATAACGGTTTAGAGATGCACAAGATGTCGCTTCAAACGAGACACGAAACTTTCGTCCAGCAACAAGGTTGCCAATAAAACAAGAATCAAAACCTACCAGTAACAGTGATAAAGACTAATAATACGTAAACAACTGCTTCATTGAGAAAAAGGAATCGAAAAATTTAGTGCTGAACCCAACATTTTACGATCAACGTCAATTTTAAGCTGTTTTAAAGAAAGCATTGAACTATTGCATGACATAAACAATTTCGATCCTGCAACTTTGAAACCGGTGCAAGAAGTACTCATATTTTTCCAAGAAGTAATGACATAGGCATTTGTACTAATTGTTTGTGGTTTTAACCGAAGTATAGCAAAACAACTTTTCAAACTTTTAGAAATTATTAAACAAATACAATATTTGAACTATAGTGCGGTACGTTTATATTTACTCTTTAAAATACCAATATCAATAGTCTGTAATATGTTCATACTCATTGTTAATCCGTCAAGTTAGGGTTCTCATTACTTCTGGCAGCCGTCTAACTACAATAAATAATTTCTAATTTCTGTACCGGTCAATGGTACTGACTCCTGGGAAAAAGATAGGAGTTTTAAGGTATAACTAATGGTCTATGAGTACTTGTAAATTATTGTCAAAATATCATGTATAAATTTAAATATTTGTAATCTTTAATTGAAACCTTCCATTTTCTTCTGATATATTAAGGAAGAAACAAATAAACACTTTGATGACCGACGTAAACGGATGTGACGTCTAGTAAGATTTAATTTAGGTGCTTTCAGAAACATTGATATATTACGGGGGGATTATTCAAGAGCTTCAGAAGTCAAGTAGTATTGTTCTATTAGAATGATAAAAGTGTATATGCAATTAAAAAAATGTATAGTTAAACATTGAAAAAAAATGATCCCTTGAAATTTGCTTAAATAAGGGGTCATATGTACACATGCTAAAGAATGGATTAATCAAATGAATACACTCTGAGATCGGTCAAGTGCCTGTGCTACTTCCTTGATGCGGAGGGACAGCAGAATATGTCTTCTTCGATCAATTGACACATAAACTAAACTTTCTTCACTTAGTAAATCATAAATACCGGAAGTAATAATTTGATATAAATTTTGATAAGTGAGTATCCCGGTGTCCAACAGGCCAAAACAAATTTAAACAATAGTTTATGAAATACTTTTGAATAAACGCCGTTAAACATTATTAAATCAATTGTTTAAACAAAAAACATGTATATCATAAAATCTATTCAAGTCATATTATGTTATTCATTTCATAGTTTTTCTAATGTTAATCAATGCGATATAGTTTTTCATCAGTGAATTAAAAATAATATCTCTCAATATATATATCACCCAGAACGTTCATTTTTATCATAAAATTTCAGATGATATCACAATAGTTAATATTTAATATGAATATTGTCTAATAGGTATGCAAATCATTACTTAGTGACTGAATCAAATGATGCAAATAAACATTATGCATATACATGTATATTCATAGCCAAAACTAACAGTAAAATCTAATTCTACATTAACCATTACCCTGCTGAAATAGTGTAATGAATGGTTCCTGCTTTGCATTAAAAACAGTCTCAGTCATAGGGAAAAAAATAAACTACCAACAGTCGGGAGCCTGGTTAGACTACTCAGCAGTGCAGCCTAGCCTGGCTCTTAGCCACTGGTGTCAAATGCTTATCTATTTCGGTTCCTGCCAGTTGAGAAATGATATTATGCGATATCAGATCCGTAAAAATCAGCGTACATAATAAAACGCTCTATAAACTGAACACAAATGAATATTTTACTTCGGCCTAGAAATGTCCCTTACTCTAAATAAACAAAGAAGCGGACAATATCGTATTGGATTCATTCACGTATATTTTGCAATATATATATTTAGCTTATTAAAGAAAAAAATCTGAGAAAAATTTAATGAAATGTCAAGGCACTCTAGAAATAATGTTGGATCTTTATTATTATCAGATCAGGAAAATGAAACTATATTTAACACCCTAGGACGAGGATGTGTAGTAAGACAAGAAAACTATATTTATTTTTAGTTTTGTATTATTCAAAGTATTTTATCTTTATCACTTAGACCATTTTTATATGATTATATATCCGGAAACATTACGATCAATATTTTACACTACATTTTCTTTGTTTACACTGTCGTTTTCACTTAAATTGATAATTTCATTAATCATAAATTATGAAAGTGTCATTATGCTCATTTTTTTCACTGTGAAGCTGATATAAATTAGTTGTATATTTCATGATTGACTATTTGAATGGAGATTGAGCAATAATTGACAAAAACAAATGTTAAGGATAAAATATAAAAAGTGCCTAAAATCTAAAACGACTGTTCCACTCTTTATAATTGAGCATTGCCAATGATTTCTGAAGGATATTTATAAACATTTATGTGGACCATGCGGGTTAAGATTACACAGGTGACGTTTCTCATAAACTCGAGAAAAATATGTCAATTTTACTTAAACACTCGCTGTTTACTGTTGGGTGGGTTAATTAACGAATATATAGATAATATTGAAGGGTTCTTTTCTATGAATACAATATGTATTTTTATCAAGTGGTGAGAAAATAAATATTTCATGAGTGGAGATCGCCAAATTTGATAATTTTTATACCACCAGATGAAAATAAATCTTGCATATAAAGAAAATACTTGAATTGTTTGACTATTATATACATTTTCCCCTCTTTTTAACATTACAATTTAAAGCCTATCCTGTATTTTGTTTATTGGCTGAATTAAGAAGAAAGTAGTCCGGCAAGATAGTAGTGAAAAAACGAAAAATGTGTTTCAATGCAGTGAAAAATATATTATTTACAATGGAAATACGGGAGATGAAAATACGCATTTTATTTCTTTAATAGTTCTCAATAGTTCATTTATACGAGTAAGTATATAATAAAGTGTAAATAGTAAATAAAGTACAGACTATATGTTACAGACGTTGGCGACAGCTGTTGTTCAACTATATCTCGCTGATTCTGATAACACACAAGAATGGAACAAGATATGTTGCGGCGTTGCTTGCTTTGTGAAGGACAACCCCAACAGATCTTTCTTCATCTGTATCTACGACAACACGGTAATTATTGATTTTGTATAATCAGATCGAATGCATGGATGTTAATGAAATATAATTGAATTATGCGAAAAAATCATACTTAAACTGATACAAACTCGAGTAGCTTTAATTGAACCAGTTTCACAATGTATTTAAAAAAAAGAACTATTCTAGGTACAATTAAATTCGTCCATGCTGTAAATCAAGACAATGGCCTTAATGCCATGATATATGTTCATGTTAATATGAAATGCTCGTGTCCATTCTGCAAATCATTAAATCAACTTACAGTATTATTCTGATAATAATGTATATTAAATCTATGGAATTATTTTCCTTAATACAACCAAAAATAAAATAAACTTGGGCAGACGACAGAGTCTTGTCACTAGCGTTTGATTATTATGTCAAGACTTTCCAGAGTCAGCAGAAGATGTGGGAACAGGAGCTTTACATCCAATTCAAATACCACACACCAAGAGATTTCTTTCACACATTTGAAGCAGATGTAAGTTAACTTTAGGCATTTTCATATTTTCAAAACCTTCTTCTACCCTCATTCTATATATTTTGTCATTACATGTATTTCATTATATATGTTTTAAGGCCCTTGACTACACTAGTGTTTTATATGATGACTAGCTTGGACTCTTGCCCCCTCTCCTGGCCCCCACCTGCCCCTTCTCCCTTGTGTATTACTCAAGTAAGCGTATACAAAAAGAAATATATTGACTTAAATGCCATTACAATGAGAACATTATCAACTCAACTAATATTGCTCAAATAATATCAACTGCAAGAATCTTTGTTTGTGCTCAATATATACACATAGATATACCGTTATAATGTCATAATCTTTATTGAACCGTTGGTAAAGTTACAATGATTGTGTTCCTTATCAATGTAACTACTAAAATCATTTAGGGACGTTGGCAATATTATTACCGAGTACAAGAACATACACTATAAGAGAATGCATTATGCAGTGAAGTATTCAAACTAATGTAATATATCTTTTGACATATCTAGGACTGTCAGGCCGCCCTGAACTTCGCAAGTGTTGATGAGGCAGAAATGTTCATGACGGCAATTCAGCAGAAAATTCTAGATAGACACAATAAACGAATTCGTAAGTTACAAACTTTGATGGACGCCATCAAGCGACAAGCACTATATTTTCATTCTTTGATAAACGATTATCTCTAGTTTCAAGTTTACATTTTGTTTCTCGTACTGGTATATTTCATTGGATATAACATATACAACAGAAGCAAAAAACTGAATAATTAACGTACAAGTTAGAATAAAGAAGATGGCTTGCTTGTAAGCTCTGTATATTTATACTAACATTTGCGATTTACAATTATAAATTCTGTATACAAATAAAAACTACTATGTTTAAACTGACTTAATGTTAACGTATTTTATCTCTATACTGCAATACCGTTTGATTCAAATTTTAAATTAATTTGGCAATCGAAAACTTGACACACCATTTTAAACCATTACAAAACTAACCTATTCAAGTATTATTCAATACGAAATAAACTCCTTAATTGATATTTAAAATAAAACCATTTTAGACCATACTTCTGTGTATTTTTGCCAGAAAACTTCAAGCCAGCTTCAGCCAATTTTAAAGCCTTATAATGACCTTAACCTGATTTTTTTCCTCCTCAGAGAAGAGGAAGCTTCAAGATGGCGGAAATCGCATCACTCCACCTCAACAACACGGAAACACTATGCTCATGAGTAAGGTTCCGTGGTTACATACATGAATGGTTGAATGAAAATAAATTAATAATGCTATTGAAACTATTGTCGAAAGTAAATAATCTAAAATATTAAAAATTGGAATTGATCCTTGAAATATTGGAAATGCGCCGAGAAAAATACATTGCAGGTTACTTTTAAAAGATATTTTTCCATGTAGCGTCCCCTTGTCAAATGAACAGACATCTTTTGTGGTCTATAAGTGTACAAATGTACGAATTTCTATTCCTTTTTTCAATCTTGCGGTTAAATATCTTTAATCATAGTTTTATATTTCACCAAGAAAAAATATTTTTGTAATCAAGTTCAATGAAACAGAAACAGTAATTTTTGATCAAATAAATAAACTTGCAAAAAAGAAATCTCTTGGATTGAGTATTCAACATTTATTTCAGACCCAGCACCGCAGCTGCCGATATCAACCAAAAAATCAGGAAATTTGAAATCAAAATCAACTGACAAAGGTAAAGGTAAAGGAAGAAAGAAACTCACAAAAGCTGACATCAGCACACCAACTGACTTTCGGCATGTCGGCCATGTTGGATGGGACCCCAACTGTGGACTTCAGGTACACATACAGTGTCAAAATAAAATATTTCAAACATGCCATAGAAATAGCAAATACTAATTTCAAAATAGAAATTAGAAAATTAACAATTGGGAACAGAAAAAATCTAGTAATAAGGATGGCTATACTATATGACGTCCTTTTAAGGCAGCATTTATATCTCGATATCAGAAACTGTTATAACATAAGCCATATGCTTTTTGCAACACAAACTCTAAACAGTTTTCCCGATTGTTAGAAAGCTATTTTGCATTTGACAAAATCCAGTTTGAACTTAGAAGTAGGAAACGGCATTCAATTAGCATGCACTATATTTAATTAGAAATGCAGCGTGTGACATCTTAATGGCGTAATGTACCACGCGATACCGCCACCCTGGTAGCTAATGGAACAAATTTCCACATATTCATTAATAAAAACACTCACATTTGAATAGTTTCCTGCGAAAATCGTCAACAATCTTTTCCATAATTTCTTATTCACGAAACTTTAAGAAAATTGATGAATTTTCCTCGTTCTGCTGCAATTTAATTGGTGTACATCTTAAAAGTTATAATCATTTGAAATGTGTTCATAACTGTCTGAATTTGACCTAAAACTTTTAACATAAGTTTGGCATATGATATTATAGATGGATAAACTGGACCCACAGATGAAAGCTTTATTTATGGAAATAGGCATAGATGAACAGTCACAGGTGGACGAAGATACGGTTAACTTTATTTATGATTTTGTAGACAAGCATGGCGGACTAAACGCGGTAAAAGAAGATCTTGCCAGACGAAAACCAGAACCGTCTGCCCCTATAGGTAAGTGTCGACTATAGGTCTAAAATAACCATGTCTGTCGCATGTATCTGACAGATAGAAATTTTAATGAGAAAAAGGAACTTAACAAACAAGTAAAGAAAATATGTAAAAAGACGATTAATCGTAATATTTATATCATTTCAGACTACTCATCTTCAAACAGAAACCAGGGGTCATCTTTACCATCCAAACCAAATTTTGCGCCACCGAAACCTCCATCTAGCAGATCAGCGCTGCCTCCTATACCTCCATCCAGAGCTGGCCATTCGAGCAGCGTCTCAAAGGAAGGTGTCCCACCTGCTCCTCCTCTACCTCCGTCTGCACCACCAGCGTATTACGCCCCGCCTCCTCCTCACTCGAAACCAAGTAACGAAAGTCGATCCCCTCCTGTTTGTTCAGGTAGATCAGGCCTTCTTGATGACATTGTGAAATTCAAAGGTTCTGCGCTGAAACCAGTCGACCATAGTCAGGTTTGTTATGTTATTCTATTTTCATTTCAAACTTTCGTATTCATCTTTTTATACACAAATATATCAATTTTTACAATTTGTTTTAATGTCATTATTGCTTAGTTGAAAATGCTGATAGCAAATGGGAAGGTAAAGTGTCCGTTACATAGTCGCACAATGAAGGATATTCGAATAATTGTAAAACAGATGTTTCACAGTTTTGTTATTTTCAGTAGTTTATATTAGAATAACATCACTTTGTCGTCTGATCACACTTATATATTTAGTGTTATGTCTATGAAGGTGCGTAAAATCTCGGCACAGCATAGTTTGCCTTAAAAATGAATAAAGGAGCTACAACCAATTTTGATTGCAAATCAATTTTATCGAAACATCGCTCAGCTATAAGTTTCGCATCTCTTAATAAAATTCTTAAGATTGTGCGGTCACGATGTTACTCACGTTGTTAAGGAAATGTTTAACTTTAGAAAAATATAGATGAGTATGATATATATTTTGGTAACATAGCAGTTTTTTCCTCAAATAGTCTATTTCCATGCAGGTAGAGCGATCTGCGGCTCCCGCGGTAGAAGCTACGGGTGGTATTGCTTCTGCGCTTATGGATGCCCTGAACAAAAGAAAACCTGCATTGCAATGTTCAGGTAGGTAACAATTTCTACCATGTTTTCATATGACATTATATAAATATATATCTAAGACCGACTGTGAGTTTTCAAAACAAGTGATAATTGTATTCATAATTGGTAATTGCTATCATATTTTTACATAAAATTATATAATTTAAAATATATCTAAGACCGACTGAGAGTTTCTTTAAACAATTGATAATTGTATTCATTAGGGTTTAATTGCTACCATACACACTTTTACATAAAAATATGTTATTTAAAATATATCTAAGACCGACTGTGAGTTTACAAAACAAGTCATAGTAGTTTAACCTAATGTTATGCATAAGGTTCATATAGGCAAACGTTTATAGATACTGTAAATATGTTCAATTTTCATAACTGTACAATCAGGCAAATGCAATAACTTATATATGAGCCGCGTCACGACAAAACCAACATAGTGCTTTTACGACCAGCATGGATCCAGACCATCCATGCAGTTCGCCGTCAGTTTCTCCACTTGCAATAAAGTTGGTAAGTGAACAGCATGGATCCTGATCAGACTGCGCAGTCTGGTCTAGATCCATGCTGGTCGCAAACCCATTATGTTGGTTTTGTCATGACGCAGCTCAATTATGTGAAATATTTTCTAACATTTCAGATGATGATGACGAAGAAAGTGATGATCTTGATGATGACGACGATGAATGGGATGATTAGTGGATTTTACTAACATACATAAACATTTTCTATCTGATTTCCCGATATGAAGTGGCCATTAACAATGATATAACACATGAAATTTTATGTCCATTACTACATATACATAAAACTAAAATGTATACTCAATACATAATATGTAATAAATGAAGAATATGTTCGTTTGGATCTTTTTAAATGCTCATTTTATTTTAGATATCAGTTTGCCATTTTTCATTTTGTTACTAAGTCGCCACGTGTTATAGAAGCAATATAGAACTTTCAAAACAATAACAACATCTAGGCAATATGCTTATGCGTACACATTACATATTATACAATTTAATGACCAAAAGCAACAACATAACGAACATATATACCAAACTAAAACTATTACTTGGTACAAACGAAAAGTAAGGTTTCTTTTCATGTGTGTTTTATGACAAGATCCATATTTAAGTCAAGATCATTTAAAACTAAAGGTCAATGTCACTTCAATCATTTAGAAAGTGGTTGTCCAAAAGGTTGTTTTGTTTAAGAATGAAGATAGTCCATATATTAATTACCAAATTACAGTCAGTTACAGCAAAAGTCAGTGAAAAGGCCAGTCACACAGTGACACTGGACTACTGCCAGGACACTCAATAGGGCACCCAACTAAAAGCAGAAGAGGGCATAAAAGCCGGGACCTAAAGTGGTCGTACCAATAAATAATAACAATTTGCATCTAAATAAGGAAACCCTTAATATCAAATTCGTATAAAGCATTTTTAAAAGCAAGTGAAATAACATAATTGTATAAAATTGTCAAGGAAATATAGGTGACTAATAAATATGATCGTCGGTGAATCCTTTTGCAGTTTTATATTTCACTAAAATAAGAATAAGCTTGCAATCAGAAATGCTTGAGGTACAAGTTTGCAACGAAAATCAAGCATAACTTGCTAGAAGCCATTACCTTGATTCTCTTTCATTTTTTTTAACTCATGAGCTGGATTATTTTATAGCAAGGGGAATGATAAAAGCCATGACTGGGGCTGGATAAAGTTTGACTCCAAAGCTTAAATTTGAATAATGTTAATGGAGGTTCATGACAAAAGACAATGTTTTATGCTAAATATCTGAGCTCTAGCCCTTGCAGTTTTGAAGACTTTACTAAATACATACAAAGAAAAACATTAAACCAGAGGCGGGGCCACTTTTGATTCAATGGCTATAATTTGATCAATCTTAGTACAGGACCACAAGATAATGTCTTGTGCAAAATATCTATGTTCTAGGCCTTTTAGTTCCAGGGAAGAAAGTTTTTTTTTAATTTATATCATACCTTTACATGTTAATGTTAATTCCTTTTATTTTGAAAAATACCATCAAACGTGTGATGCCCGATGACCCAAAATCTCGTGATCAATTGTATATTCTTTAAGATCTCCTATGCTCATATCTTGATAAAATACTTCTATCCCAGATTTAATGAAATCTATAAATTCTTCCTGAATGTGTCTACTTTGAATAAGTGAATGTATGAATATGTTTTGAAAGCAGCATTATTTATTATTTGTCAAATAAATGTGGTTTATTCCTATAAAAACTGCAAGGTTGTTTTTTTAATAACACTATATATGTTATCATACTGAGATTACCTGTTGTGTGTAGATTATAAAACATAACAAATATCCTCTGTGTGTATTCAAATAAGTTTTACATTTCAAAAGAGACTGTATAGTAATTTTCAGTTGTTGTTTTTTGTTGTTGTTTGTTTGTTTTCTTTTAATGAAACATATCAAATCTGATTCCTAGTTTAACGATTTTGTGCTGCGTGAATAAATATTTTGAAATAACCGCATTGTTTTGCAATTTTATAAGAAAACTGGCCAGAAGGTTATAAGAACACCTGGGAAAAGGGTAATACAGTGGAAGCAATGAAAACAGAAACAATATATGTAAATTGCTGACAGACTCAGTTCGATTGTATTTCTTCGTGAGAGACAATGTAAATGTGTAACATCTCTAACCATCCCCCCCCACCCTATCGCCGGCTTAAATGGTATTCACTACTAAACACTAACGTGCTGCGACCAATGGAGTTAAATTTCAGGCATTACTTTAGTTTCATAATCACTTTAGCTAAAGTATTACTAGTTTTATTATTCTCGTTTGATGTCTGCATTCTTAATTTTTTTAAAATATGAATGGTTTTAGATTCTCCTTAAATAATCTAAACGGTGCATAAAATGTTTATAAAAGAAACAATGACTATACTGTATAATTTTGTACAGTTTTTGTCCGGAAAATGGTCGGAATGCATTAATTCAACGATTTAACTGTTAACATTGAAAAGCAGATTATTCTTGCATTTATAAGGATTAGTATAAAGAATGAACTCGTCAATTATACAAAACATCAGGATTTAATTATATTTGCCTGCATATTTGTACAACAGATGGCAGTTTGCACATCTATCTAAAGGCCAAACCGTTCCCTGGTATTCATATAGATTTTGGCCACCTAAACTAAAGGTAAGATTCTACTAACATTTTAATGTATTTTTATTATTTTTCAGTCTTTTTAATATTCATTTATTAATTTTTAGGGACATTGTGGAAATTTAACTTTTCAAACTGTATTGATATCAAGTTAGTTTTAATATTTAGGTTCTTCTTTACATCTTCTTTCAGTAGGCTTTATAATAGAGAAAAAACTGGGATTTCAAATGTGCTTGTTTTATATTATTAAGTCTATTAGCAAGGTTTACAAAACTTTTGCATAGTTTGAACACATTGGAGGTTCCATGATAGCCGTATGAACACATCTGCGGTTGTTCCTAAACTCAAAATTTCACCATTTTCAAATGTTGAATACTGCTTAAGCCTTTGGTAGGGGCATGGGCGGTAGCTTGCAATAACTTCTATCATCCATTCACAAGGAACCGATCCTGCAACATTTTCAATTTTGTCGTTTTGGACATTCTTTACGGATTCCGTTTTTCTCTATTTTAAAATTTAGATGTTTATTCTGTTTCTTTTTACTTCCCAAGGAGTTTATAGAAAATTCTTTAAATATATGTACAAAAATTTTAACAATATAACGTTTTGCAAATACATGTATATGTGTTTGTGATTAGTTCAATAGAATAGAGAAAAAAAACACAATTCATAAAGAAAGCCCAACATGGCAAAATTGAAATGTTGCAGGCTCGGTTTGATTGAGTATGTTTAATGACGGTAGTGGTGATAGCAAGTTATCCTCGCGCCACTAGCACCGGCTTAAGAAGAATTTAACATGAAAAGGTAAAATTTTGAAACATCCGCAGATGTGTGCATATGGCGGTTATTATCGAACCTTCAATGTGACGCGTTAGTTTCATTCCGTGAAAAGCGACATATGGTCCCCACTTAAAAATGCGTGCCTTCATGCTTGTCTGTTATATTGTTAAATAGCTTACTTTACTAAAATCTACACAAATGATTTGCTGTTTTGTATATACATACGTCTAGCTGCATATGTTTTCCTATCTTTTTTCTATCAGTTGTGAACAAAAGTATTCTGGATTTCAGTGAAAATGGCTCGAGTTCTCGGTGTTGTTGTCCTCTTTACTTTGGTATGTATATCAAAATTAAGCCTTTTTCATTTTTATATCACTTTGCATGCTGGCAGAAATGAATTTTACCCATTTATTCGACCAGTGGTACAAAGATAAGCTGGCACATAGGCACCGCTTTACACAGCATATCCGGTACAGGAATTTGAGGGCTAGAAATGTAAACAATACGATTTAAGTGAATTTAACATTTAACGTCGGTGGTTCTACTCAGGTGCCCGTTCGTGCCTGAAATAATGTACGGAGGGGCACCTGAGGCCTTCCTCCACCAGTAAAGCTGGAACTTCGCGATATGACCTATACTGTGTCGTTGTGACGTAAATCCCAATCAAAACAAAAACATTAAAATACATAAGCTCTTGGACTTTTTCTATCGCTTTTAATTTGTAAAATCACTATAAAAATATTGCAAGTAACCTTTTGTGTGTATTCCGGTGCATAGTACTCTCTGAAACCTTCCACTCAGAAATGAAATTCTTTACAGATACACAGAAAACAATCTTAAAAGTACTCAGTTACCATATTTAAGTCTTTTTCTATGCATACTTTTAATTGCCATAACAAGACTGGTTAAAACATACTTTAACTGTAATGCTTGAGGTAATTTGTATGGCATATCCCTTTCTTTTTCTGTTTTCGTATAATACAAAGGTTACCCTCCACCCCTTTCCATGACTTCTTTCTTTTAGCCTCTCCATTGCCCCTCTCGAACCATAAAAATATCCTCGAACTACTAGCGAGAACTATGAACACGAATCACACTTTCCATTCTTTTTAGCTTAATCTCTAATAAATAAACTTGCATTGTCGAGACAGGCGATAATTAAGCTTTTCTATTCTATCATTTGCAGGTCAATGTTAAGACGCAAATATCTTCTAAGTCAAATGTTTGGAAACAAACTTAATTTCACTCTAAATGAAACTAAGCAATGTAACATATTTCAAGTTGTTTTTCAGAAAATGGGGCTTTAAATAATTAATAATAACATTTTATGTTGCAGTGTAAAATACATTGATTAATAAATAATGTATATTTTCAATACGATTCTTGTGATAACATTGATACCAAATCAATTAAGTAATATTAACTTTTTTTTTAATTTATGTTGTTACGCTACTTTCGTTTTTTTTTCTCTTCCAGACAATGATTCAAATGGTGAACGCGAACGCAGATTTGTGCAAGGGCTTATCAGTTTTTCGAGTAAGTTTACTTTAGAAAAGTTTAAGTTATTTGATGCCAGGACGAAAAGACTCTTCTTTCTTTTTAATTCTGGATGGATTTTTTTATTACTTCCGCTTGAAAATTAGCATTTTACGTTACCATTTATACCATTAAGGTATATCCATATGCAAATAGTTTGCTAGCTCATCATAACACCATTAATGCCACAACCACATCATATTGTCCAACCACTTTCCATCGTTTTTTTAAAGGTGTATTTTCATATTAATCAGGGGCGTAGCCAGCTTTTTTCAACTTGAAGGCCCATGAAAGGGGTCTGGGGGCTAAGCCCCCAGAAGCCAAAAACAAGTTCAGATTGAAAAGAGCAAATTGCGCTTCTAAAGTATTTTCAAGGAAAATTATCAAAACAATAATTTCAAACTATGAATTTGATTAGATGCCAACTTTATTGAGGACGGTAAATCATGCATCAGCATTAAAGACACTTTATTCGATCATACAGCTTGAACATACTACCAATTTCACCCACGCCCTTTTTTTAATTGTATTTTTGGGACTTTTGAAAATGTCGATTTCTTGACCAACTTGTAGGCCTGGACCTACATTGCCTAATAGTAGCTACGCCACTGTTAATTATCCTCATCACCTTGACAAAGCCGAAAAAAACAAACTACAATTCAGTTAATTATCACTGCTAAAGTGAGATCAGGATGGCAACCTGTGGATGGATCGAACATATCAAAATTGTACATTTAACGAATAAATGAACTGTTAAAACACAAATACATATTTTTAAGCTTATATACATGTTAAAAATAATCAGTGTTGCCCAATAAGTATTTTTTTTATAATATTAATTTCTGGGAAAGGTTTAATCTAATGTTGCTAGAACTTGATGCTCAACCCATTTGCATTTTGTATAAATACAAAACAATGTATTCTCTAAAGTTCAATTTACAGTGTTTTATGAGAAATTCTAACACGACCCGCATTTTTCCCTATTGAACATAGAAGAACCGAAAGTGTGTGTTATTATGCTATGAAATCACTGTTTGACGTTCTATATTTAGACATGTGACGTAATCATTATACACGTGACGTAACCACTAAAAATGTGACGCGCTGACAATAAGTATGGAAACAAATCAGACGCAATTTAGCTAATTATCATGTACGGCAGCATTTATTTGTTGATGTCGTGTTAGAATCGTAATAATATATCCAAATCGATGATTTTATTGCTTGATAACATCACTGTTTGTCGTTCGGATGCGCATCATTATATCACTTCCCCGCATTCGAACTCCAAACAGTGATGTTATTGAGCAATAAAATCACAGTTTGGGATATATTATTTCTTAATTAAATCAAGATAACATAAAATATATGGCTGAATAAAAAGAGATCAATACATATATATTTATTATATTTTCAGAGATGCGGAGACAGACGTTTTTGCGTGTGTGCAAATTGGAATATAAACACCTTTTACAATGACGGAGCTACTCCATGCAAAAATTTAGTCTGCAGAAGTAACTTATAACGTATTTTTCTTATGACTTAAAGTATGCAGAAAATGTACTGCGACTGTAGCGTCTAATCATTTTCATGTAACTTATGTACAAATGTATAACATATGTTGTGCAGCCGAAAAACGATGAAATTCTTTTACGAAAAAATATTTAATAAATATGCATTTCTTAGACTGCTGAGAAATGTATGACACCTTTAGCCTGTGGCAACCAAATGTGTTTTTTTAGAATTTGAAAAAAATATGTTTGAATACAAATTGTTATGCGATGAAAATTCGCAAAATCTTTGTCAATGAAATAATCTTTGTACATTTTTGTAATTATCATCGCATAACACATACACTGTATACGTTTCAAATTCATAGCTGAAATACTTTTTGTAACCAGAAACTCGAATTAACAACACATTTTGTAGATGTCTTTAAGCGTATATATGACAAAGAGTAACAACTTATCTTGTCAACAAAACTCTCTTTTTAAAGGTATTGGAAACTAAAAGGATATACCGGTAGTTTGATAAATTACGTACCACTACTAAAGTAAGCGACAGGGATTCTCTCATCATGCTCATGAATGCAAACACTTCGATGTCTGATCCTCGCTCAAAGAAATTCTTTTTCAATGAAGTTCCTATATTGTACTATGTTGATTCATTTAAGCGTATTGTCATTTTATTTCCAGATATCAACTGCCTTTACTTCAACGGTATACCTCGAAAACCTAAAAAAGTGAATGGTGTATATGTGTATTGTAGCAGTGATGACGGATGTGGTAATAATTTCGAGTGTTTCTATGGTTACTGTTGTCGTCCGCTGAAAAAGTATTGACTTGTGAGAAATAAACAAAGAAATGTAAATGTAAAATAAAGATATAAAGCAGAATAAATGAAATAAAACAAAAGCATTATATTTTATTTTGTTTTAAGTTTTCCCAGTGGTAACAATAAGAAAATGTTTTTTATTCCACCGCAGCATCTGCGATGCGGTGTTAAAAATCACTAGTCCAATTTCAGTCAAACTTGTCAGGATTGTTTCTTGGGTGAAGGGCTATCCAAAGTTGTTCAAAGAATTTGATTTCATGAATGCAGAAATATTGCCATGACAACAAAAATGAATAATAGGGAAACAATTCTAATCAAGATCCAAAAGGCCTAAAAACTAGACATTTTGCATAATGCATTGACTGGTGAATTTCTACCAAGATTGTTCAAATTATAGCCATGGGGTCAGAATTGGCCCCGCTCCTGGGTTAGTGTGTTGTACTTATATGTAAATAGTTAAAATGTTAGAAATAATTTTCTTCAAAACAACAAGGGCTAAAGCTTAGATATTTAGCATGAAACATTTTCTAGTGAACCTCTATCTTAAAATATTCAAATAATAGCTTTGGGTCAAAATTAGCCCTGCCTCATGAAGTTATGGCGTTTCTTCGTATCATAGTATAATAAAGAAATGGAAGCAACTCATATTGAAATGTCTTTTATTCATGTGTACATGTCATACATTTTTTCTAAAAACGATTCATTAGCTGCAAGTGGCCTTCAAATCATAGTTTACTATTTAAAGGAAACAACTTATATTTAAAATGTATTTTATACACGTGTACATGTTATGCAATTTTTCTAGAAAAAAGATTCAATAGCTGGGAGTTAGTCTTAAGGTCACGACCTCTAGCAAGAGACATGTTTGCTTCATGAAACGATCTGGGGTCGTGATTTTAAATTGTTAATGTTTTTATGTTTTCAGAAATAGCTAATGACTTCAAAAGACAGTACATAGGAAAGATAAATCTGACTGTATTTTCTAAATTTCATAAAGCTATGTAATACAGTAAATGCCAAAATGTTATTTAGCAAAAAACTGCTATTATACTATGGTCTTCTTATCTGAACATTAGACACAATCATCCGCACATTGTCTTTCATTTGACATGCTTAGATATATATATGACATTGACCCCATATTCACTTAGTAGACACTTCTGCATTATTGCAAAGTAAAACTGTATTGAAACAAAAATAATTTACAACTGTTCCTTCTATTTAGTGTTGTATTGATGCGGTGGCATAGCATTTTTTCACAAATACAATTTTTTTCCATATTTAAACGAAATCTGAATGGATTCAGGTCGTATTTTAAAGTATTTTCTTGATTTTTTTTTCGTTCTTACTTAGTTCCTAGTTCAAGATATATAACAGAAGTCTTTAAACCTAGATAAAATGAAGAACCACGTGGGGCTTCTTTAGAAAACTGTTAACTCCTTGTTTCTATCGATATTATTCCCGATATAAGTATGGTATATAGTGTAGTGCGTAATTATATTTTTCGCAATTTAACTACACGAATTCACGATTTCAATTTCACGAATTCACGATTTCAACTTCACGATTTTATCTTCACAAATTCATGAAGTTGAAATCGTGAATTCGTAAAGCCATCAAGTTGAAATCTTTAATTAATAAAGTTGAAATCGTTAATTCACGAAGTTGAATACATGAAGTTGAAATCGTGAATTTATTAAGTTGGAATCGAGAATACGTGAAGTTTAAATCGTTAATTCATGAAGTTGAAATCGTGAATTCACGAAGTGGAATTCGTGAAGTTTAAATCGTGAATTCATGAAGTTGAAATCGTGAATTTGTAAAGTTGAAATCATGAATTCGTAAAGTTGAACTCTTAAATTCGTGAAGTTGAAATCTTGAATTCATGAAGCTGAAATCGTAAATTCGTATATTCTGTATGTTGAAAACGTGAATTCACAAAGTTAAAATTCTGAATTCACGAAGATGAAATCGGCGATTCATGAAGTTGAAATGTCCCCCACGGTCTTTCGTAGACATGCATGTCACAATTTACAAATTACTGTGATAGCTGTTCCCTTACCAGAGTCTCTGACGACCTCAACACATTTGTAGCTGTATATCAAATATATGTATTTTATATACTCAATTGTTGGAAAAAATCAATTTGTCCAGTCAGTCTGTAGAACGACCTCAATCAAATTGCTCACATCGTTCAGAACTTTGCGCAGTATTAAAGCAACAACTGTAGGAAGAACAGGATTGACAAATGAGCATAAAAAAGTCGTCCCGAATGCGGCTATGATTTCTAATTTGTAAAAAAAGCTTTAAAAACGAACGCAATAAACGTTTTTGAGACTCATAGTTACTACATGTATATAAATCAAAGCACTGAATGTACTGATGGGGAGGCTGTGACAGAATGTTTCAGAGTTATAAATTCTTTTCTTTTCGCTTCAAATGTGCTGTAATTACAAATGTTTCCAAAATAACAAGATATGTCCATTGCGCCATTTATCTTTAAAGTTTACTGTTGCGTTTATCCGTTCATATGGTTAATATGCTGGACTAATAATTTTGTTAATATTCCAGAACTTTTCATTACTACATTCGCACTGTTAATCATGTAAATTTTGAAGACCTAAACTGTGAAATGGCATGCCAGAAAGTATGACAACTGTTCATTATAAGATCACAATACCATTTTGCAACTGACGGTTCCTTATCACTGTTCATCATGCCGGCATAAATACTTTATGATCATTGAAAGATAAAAACAACTACAAGTTATGCAACATTTTTATTGAACATAAAAATAAAACATATTTACGTATAACATAATTGAGATCAATAAAGATACTGTCTTGTGATGAGTATTAATATTCATTCTCTACGGACAGAAAGTTGTCTTCTCTCGAAGCATAGATCTATTTCAAAAGAAAATTCTTCCCATTCCATTACTCGTCGTTGACTTTGACGGCTTCAAATATTTATTAAAGCTAAGTATTTGAAAAAATTACATCTCAAAATTGAATCAATCTAAGTGAAAACCAGTTTACCGATAGATTCTATTTTTAAACCTCACTAGCTTTAAATATGTACTGCGAGAAATCCGTTGTTATAGTTACGATGGGTTATCCCTATCTATCATGTACGTCTTACCAGTTCCCGCAAATAGATGAGAACATCTATGAATTGTATTATAAATAGTGTGTTTTGGGAGTTTTTGTTGACAACGAAGCTATGTGGAGTAAATAACACATTTTCTTTCGTAATTTTTCAATCGTTGTAAAATGAATACGAAATTCCTCTTATGCCACCGATTACTTCTAGAGCACAAATATATCAGTTTTAAGTTTTTGATTTTATTTTTCAAATTATTGTGAACATTAATCACTTCAGCGGCAAATATTGTTTTCAAATTAAAGTTTCTTAAAATATGAATTGAAGCACGGCTTTAAAGCCGCGATTGAAGTCATTCCAGCTGAGACATACAGTTAGTCTTTTTTCCGATGCTCGACTGTAAGTCATTCGTATATATATATACGACATATATATATGAGTTTTACTTCATTGTTTTTAAAGCTTCTTATCTTTTGAATATTTCTTTTATTTAGCTGTATCGAAAATTTGAATTTTATTACACATGGACTATCAAATTATAATGCGTTGCCATGGAAGTGAATAAACTTTCTAAATACACAATACGGCATCATTATTTTGATTAAAGACTGATCCTTGTATGTCAGTTGTATAATATGGCTAAAAGCATTGTAATTCAATATTGCTAAATAAATGTTGATGTTGTTGTTGTTTTTGTTGTATAGATCCCTGACCTATCTTATTCTAATTATTAGATTAGTGGATACATTAAGACTTTTACCACAACATATTCCTAAACAAACGAGCACATGTTTGAATTTATTGTTATTTAACTAAAAGGTCAGAGTAGGGATTTATCATTTGCCAGAAATATTTGTTTTAAAATACTTTTATGTTGACATTGATTGATACATTATGTGAGTTGAAAATACAGGTATAAGTATTGTTTATTTTCTTTTGCTAATGTAAAATTTAATGTATTCTTGTGTTGAAATTTTGTAGGAGGGTCCTTACGGGTTTTTGTAGTTAAAAAGTGATTTTTTCGGCGATAATGGTTCAAGAATATAATGATTTCAAACTATCTGTTCATCACCATTTTTGCATCAGCACAAGGTCACGTGATGTGGCCCTCATGAGAGATGCTTGTAGTATCTAGTAGGTCAATTGCAAGTTAGTTCCAGTAGAGTACATACGTGACATATGAAAAAGTGATTTTATGGTATTTGTTATTTGGAAAAGTTGGATTTAAGACTTGGTGTTTCTAAAATATTTAAAACTACAAAATTTAATGGAAACTTTGCAAATTATAAAAAGGGATATTAAGTTAGAATTGTGAAGAGAACAATTTAAGATTTTAAGACTGAGACAGTGACAGTATTAGCATGGCGCAGGAAGGTTTCCTGCAAAGACTGGGATTGGAACTCAGTTTTGAAAAAATGGAGGGGGCAGTAAGTACCCAAAGACTATGACTGAAAGCGATAAGTCTTCTATTTCAAAGGCCACTACCACAGCTAGTGGAGATGATACCAGGGAGCCTGGCACTAGTGGTAGACCATTAAGCCCTACATGTACAGTGAATAATTCTGACACTGCAAACATAGAATTGTCAATAATCATGTCTTTTCAAAGGCAACAGGCTGAAATGCTGAAAAACTTGGTTTCTGAATTTGCATCAATGAAATAGACAATGTGCTAGATTTCTGGGAATATGGCGGATGATGCCAGTGAAAATGAAGAGCATGGTGAAATTTCCCCAGAAAGTTTCTCTGCTGACCGGTCAGAAAGTGACCCGAGTCAATGTCAAAAGGGTGAAGAAAACAACAAGTGCTTCATTTTGGGACAGTGTGCAGCCTTCACTATCAGAGGTGAAAGGGTTATCTGTGTCTGGTGAAATATCGACCTTTGTCCAGAAACTAATGGCAACAAGCCTAGACGAGAGCAAAAAAGCCGAGTAAGTTAAGAAACACCAGATACCGGAGAATACTACATCTCTAAACACACC